TGGACTTATTTATTTATTTGAAAGGCAGAGAGTTACAGAGAGGCAGAGGAAGAGACAGAGGGAGAAGTCTTCTATCTGCTGGTTCACTCCCTAATGGCTACAATAGCTGGAGCTGGGCCAATCCAACGGCAGTAGCCAGGAGCCAGGGGCTGCCTCCAGGTCTCCTGCATGGGTGCAGGAGGCCGAGGACTTGGGTCATGTTCTTGCTGCTTTCCTAGGGCATAGCAGAGAGCTGGATCAGAAGTGGAGCAACTTGGACTGAAACCAGCACTCATATGGGAAGCCAGCTCTGCATGCAGCATCTTTACTCTCTATGCCACAGCACTGGCTCTTAAATCATTTCTTTAATGATGAAATGTCTTTTTATGCTTCAAAATTTTCATTGTAGTAGTCTGAAATATAAACTTGTAGACATGAAGTACATCTATATTATTCTCATAAAGGCTCATATTTGGCAGCATAAAGTTTTATTGATTTACTGTAAAATGATAACATGCTTGACAAAAGTATTCATTCATTGCTGGACATCGTTATTTTTAAGGGTTTATTTATTTACTTGAAAGGCAAAGTTGAGAGAGAGAGTGAGCTTCCATTAGCTAGTTCATTCCCCCAAATGGTTGTAACAGACTGGGCCAGGCCCAGAATTTGAAACTATTTAAGTGCCTGGAGAAGAGTGGAATTAGGAGTCTCCTGGTGCAGATTAACAGCCCTTTTGTCATAAGGAAGAAGCTGAAGTTCAGATCTTTAGGTCATTTCAGTACACGTGCATGTTGTGTAGTTGAGCTTCTGGGTACCACATTATCTGAATCAGTTTCAGACGTGAAGATACAAGGTGCATTGAAAAGAAGGAAACACTGCTTGGCACCCTGTGAGGTGATTTCACTAGGACTCTAGTTAACTGTTTTAAGCAAGTGCTTATAGATTACAAACAGTACCAAGTACAGATTTTTGTAAGCAACAAGCGCCAATATCAGGGTTCTATAGTGGTGGCTCAATTACTGGAATCCTGGGATTCTAGGGACTTCTAGGGCATCTTCCAAGGACCTACTAAAGGGAAGCTTTTGGATACCTTATATGCTTATATATGCTTTGTGGGCAGTGTTTGGAAATATATTTTAAAAAAATTATCTGTCAACTAGAAAGGTTTTTTGTAAGAGTAGATGAGAAAGAAATTTCTTCATTACTCAAGAATTCAGTGTCATCATTGGAAATTCAGTAAGAAATTGAAACAATAGAAATGTCAATTTAAATAAAAACAGATCTAACCCATTACATACTGTTAATATAAATTATCTTTGATAAGGATATTTGATAATACATTTTTCATATATGACTTATAAGAAGTCCTATGGTAATTGGCCTGGTGATCTGTGCTTGCTAAGTGTCTGTATTCAAAGGGAAAATATACTTGAGACTTTATGACAGAAAGTATTTTTACATTGAAGTCAATTGGCCATTGAAATTGTGCATCTAGTCTCCTACTAAAACCAGGACTTTGGAACTGTCTTCTTTGATATTTACAAGTCAAAGAGGTACTTCCTAGGTAGTGGAGAAAGATATTTCTGTTTCAAAAAGATTGACAAAATCTTATTTTTCTGTGAAAAGCATGTACATATATTTCAAAAAGACAGAAAAATAATTCCATATAAATATTTTCTGAATTAAAGGCTACAGCAAAATTACAAAGAGGGAAAGTTGACTCCAACTGAATGTGACATAAGGCATCTAAAAGGTGACCTTGGATGTACTGTGTGAAGATTAAGAGGGTTCAGTAGGGAGGGAAAAAGCAAAAAAGGAGAAGATGCAAAGACTCATGGAGGGATGCATTCTAGGGTTTATTCCAGATCTTTTTTGTGCTATGATGTTTATTTAGGCAGGGATGTGCTTGTTGATTCCTATTTGCATGTTGTCAGGTGCCATCAAAATGCACATGTCTAAAAGTCCAAGCTGGTGGAGTGACAAGGTTGCTGCTGCAGATTCTGGGCCTAGAGGTGAGAGTACAGCAGGTGTCCTCCAGGTGCCTATATGTATTTTCAAGAGGAACCTCTAGGAGAACAAGCACTATGGATGGCATTCCAGGGGGTAGAACTTAGGCCCGGGAGGGGTGTGATCCATCTTGCATGGTGACACCAGCTAATGAGCAAGCATTGTATATGGTGACAGAAAATAGGGGGCAGGAGTCTGCCCTAAGAACTCACTGCTGAGTCCTTCACCCTTGCTAGCACAGAATGTGCAGAACAGAGGTTCCCTTCCTAGAGACACTGCGTCACATGTGTGGCTGAGATTCACATAGCAGAGTCAATACCAGAGGCACTTGCTCTAAGTTTCAGAGCCTTAGGATAGCAAATAACATCCTTTCCCCAGGCATCTCTTGGGTTGTATCATCAGGAACTCTTCAGAGAGGCAACTCAAATTTGTATGTCGATGAACAGACCAACAAAGATGGAGAAAGTTTTAATAGTTTGTTTTGGGAATGGATGGAGAACTTTGGCAGGGATTCCATGAATGTATTGATGATACCCAGAGAAGTCATGGGCCATGTTCGGACTTACCCATAATGGTAGAGCTAGAAACGTGCCAGGGCATTCCAATTCAGTCCCATCAAGGTGGCATGTGGCAATGCCATCTTACTTGTTAAAGTGATCAGTTTAAGTTCATAATTCATCAAAAAGATAGGATTAAGTGTCAAAGGGATTACATAAATAAGACCAGTGTCTGCAAATAGTTGATAGAATTAAAAAAGAGAGAATGATCTTACATGGGAAGCAGTATACACAGAGACTCACAGAATGGCAAAAGCCCTAAACAGCACTCTGGCCTCAGAATCAGCCCTTAAGGCATTAGTATCTGGCTAAAAAGCCCATGAGAGTTTTGCAGGCATGGAAAGCCAAGATATTGTGGCAAAAAAAAGACCTAAAGAAAAGATCTCTGTGAGTGAGATCCCAGCAGAAAGAACGGGCCATCAAAGAAGGCAGTACCTTTCTCTGAAGGGAAGAGAGATCTTCCACTTTGACTATGGCCTTGTCTAAATAAGATCGGAGTTGGTGAACTCAAAAGGCTTCCATAGCCTTGGCAGCTCATGACAAGAGCCTCAGGTGATTACTGACATCATAAATAAGAGTGTCAATTGTTAAATCAACAATGGGAGTCACTGTGCTCCTGCTTACCATGTAGGACCTCTGCCCTTAATGTGTTGTACTATGCAAATTAATGGTAAAACTACCACTGTGTCTTTGTGGGAGTCTGTTGAAATCTTTACTTAGTATATACTAAGTTGATCTTCTGTATATAAAGATAATTGAAAATGAATCATAATGAAGAATGGGATGGGAGATGGAGTGGGAGTTGTGATGGTTGTGGGTGGGAGGGTGGTTATGGAGGGAAAAGCTGCTATAATTCAAAAGTTTCACTTTGGAAATTTATATTTATTAAATAAAAGTTGGAAAGAAAAAACAAAAAAGAAACAAAATAGCTATCATTGTAGTAGTTTAGATTTTTGTCTATTTTTTCCCAAGAATTCTAATATCACATACACCTCCCTTTGAAGTACTTACGTTTCCTCAATTCTTTAAATTTTTTTGCTTAAGGAAAATTGCAAAGGAACAAAAATTTTAATTTTTAGTGGTATAAAAGTAATAGATGGCATGTATTTCATAGATACAGTTCTAAGAAGGTACCCATACTTTTCTCCCTTCTGCTCTCACTTCCTCAATCCTTCTCATCCATTCCACTTTTTCTTTAATTTTTGCAAAGACATAGTTTTTTAAAAATTATTTATTTGAAAGTCAGAGTTACACATAAAGAGAAGGAGAGAGAGAGAAAGAGAGAGAGAGAGAGAAAGAGAGAGAGGTCTTCCATCTGCTGGTTCACTTCCCAATTGGCCACAATGGTCATAGTTGTGCTGATCCAAAACCATGGAGCCAGGAGTTTCCTCCAGGTCTTTCACATGGGTGCAGGGGCCCAAGGACTTGGGCCATCTTCCACTGCTTTCCCAGTCCATAGCAGAGAGCTGGATCAGAAATGGAGCAGCTGGGACTTGAATCAGTGCCCATATGGGATGCTGGCACTGCAGGAGGTGGCTTTACCTGCTGTAACATGGTGCTGGCCCCTAGAATATATTTCTTCTTCTTTTCAGGAGATGGGAGGGGTGCGAGTGGGAGGGAAGTTATGGGGGAGAAGCCATTGTAATCCATAAACTGTACTTTGGAAATTTATATTTACTAAATAAAAGTTAAAAAATAAAAACATGGGTCATGTGTCCTATAACCATCATAAAATTATTTACTAGTTTTGTTACTGTTATTCTTACTTTTTCATATATAGAATAATGTCATCTGTCAATAAATTAGTTTTATTTCTTCCTTTTCAAAAAAACATTGTTACTAATATTAAGCTTATTTATTCTTTAATTTATTGAAAGGCAGGTTAAAATCTCACATTTGTATCTGTGTGTGTGTGTGTGTGTGTGTGTCACATTTTTCTTCATGTTATTTGGTTTTATATATATATATATATATATATATATATATATTTTACTTGACAGGTAGAGTTATAGACAGTGAGAGAGACGGAGAGAGAGAAAGGTCTTCCTTCCGTTGGTTCACCCCCCAAGTGGCCACTATGGCTGGAACTGCACTGATCTGAAGCCAGGAGCCAGGAGCCAGGAACCAGGAGCTTTTTCTGCGTCTCCCATGTGGGTGCAGGGACCCAAGTACTCAGGCCATCCTCCATTGCCTTCCCGGGCCACAGCAGAGAGTGGAACTGGAAGAGGAGCAACTGGGACTAGAACCAGCGCCCATATGGGATGCCGGTGCTGCAGGTGGAGGATTAACCAAGTGAGCCACGGGGCCGGCCCATAGAATGTATTTCTTATATTATTTTTGTTTTGATATCCATTAATATATTATCCCTATCACTCTTACTTCCTCACATCTCCTTCCCAGTCTTAAAGTCATCACTAGTCTATTTTCAGATAGATGTAATTTTTAGGTTTCATATAC